GGAAAGAAATGTTTATCCATAGAAATATGTCTACAGTGCTGAGAAGAATCTATTTGAAGTAAGAAAAAAGTTAAAAAAAAAAAAATTAATGGTGCCTCTCCCTTAAAAGAACCGTAACAATTAAGCAACTGGGGAAAAAACCCCACGTTGGTTTTGCTAAACCAGAGCAGCTTTTTTCCTAAGTATTTCTTGAAGAGCTGGCTATTCTACAGTGAGCTAAAGTCCCAGGCACAACAGTAGTCAACGACGCAAGAAGAGGTATAAATAGCAGTCAACTCACTTGTAGTATTCAGCAGCAGTTTCAAATTGCCCCAGGAATATGTAGGCGTTTCCGAGATTGCTGTACGCTCGTCTTTCCGCTGATCTATCACCAAATTCTTTTGCAATTAGGAGACGCTTAAAAATGGGAAACAGCCGTGTTATTTACTCCGTTTGTACTGTGTCACATCTGCAAACACAAACGCATGCTCGCAGGTTTTCCACCGCGCATCTGTATCCGTTCTTCAGGCCAGAAGTGCTGGAGAAGCACAGCTGAAGGTGACGCTGTGTCGTTAAGGTTTAAAACCTGGATGAAGGAAGTCGGCAGCATGGGCCAACAGGATACACGCGCTTGAGATCGGGAGCAACCAGTGCTGTTCCGCTAGAACAGAATTCCTTACTAGCACACCGCTGTACCTGTTCATGGGCTAAAACTGCACTCCTGAAGTTGCCCAGAAGATAGTGTGTGTTTCCCAGATTTCCAAAGGCACGTCCTTGTGCTGCTCTATCACCCAGCTCCGTTACTATTGTCAGGTTTTCCCTGTTATGGGGAAAGTGAGAAGGGGAAGAAGAATGACTTTTAAGAGTTTTTTTTCCCTTGCAGTCATTTAAATAATAATTTTTTAAAATCTTTTCATTTACATGATGGAAAAAGTAGTCCGCTTTGGCCTAGTGACTTTTAAGAGGTTTTTTTTCCCTCGCAGTCATTTAAATAATAATTTTTAAAAAATCTTTTCATTTACATGAAGGAAAAAGTAGTCCGCTTTGGCCTATTTTAATGCCCTTATGCCGTAAATCTTCCACCGAGTAGGAAACATTTCCTGTGAGACACTGAACGTCACAGCAGCCTTACCCGAGCTGGTGTGCTGGTGCCTGTCTAGAGAGCCATCTTATATACAGACACACTGAGGTCCTGCTGCTGTCTCAGTCTGCTCTGAGGGGTAATACTGCACCCTAACAGAAGGGAAGGACTCACCAGGTAATAAGAGGTACACTAGAACTGAGGGCTTAACAGAAATACAGCACACTCTCCAGTTTAAAAGGGAAGAATTCACAGGTTCCACCGTTCTGAAGTGTGCCACAGGTTAGTTCTGGACACCACACACCTCCCCGTACTCTAATGAGCTAGGTGATCACATCCCCTCAATCCCCAACATGTAAAGCTACTACTTACTCGTAATAATTTGCAGCTTTTTGTAAAGCATTTTTCACATCATCTGGAAGTTCTCCTGGATCATGAGTCCCAGCACTAGCTACATTTTTCCCTTTAGAGTGATACACATTTCCCAGATTATACAGTGCTCTTGCTTCTCCAACCTAAACCAAAAGTTAAGTAAGGCATTAAAATTTTATGCTACAAAGTCTTGAGTCACAACTACTCCTGGTACAACCCAGAGATGGGAAAAAAGTGTTTAACTAGTTGACAACACATGCTCTGCCTGTTCTGAACATGTTCTCACCCACCTTACACCCACCCAGTCACACCCCTCAATCAAACTGCTTTGCATACTACTTGCTTTTGAGGTGCAAGATACATAACAACTCTGGAGGCGTTAAAAATTACGTTAATTTTCTTTTAAAACCAAACAGGTTACTATTTATTAATCTGGACCTATAGTCTTCCAGGTAGAAACAACATCTTAGAACTAAGATTCTTACTGTCTGGAAGAAATAGTTGAATATTCAGTATTTACCTCAAAAACCAGCACACTCACTACCAATACAACAGGGTTCAGTAACAGGTACTAGCAGTTCAATTCCAGATTCCTAGGCAATTCTTACCTTATCATTAAGCTCTCTAGAAATATCCAGATGTCTCTGACAACAAACAATAGCTTCTTCAAAATTCCCAAGTACCTTTAAGGTGTTGCCCAGATTCCCACTAGCTTTAGCTTCTCCCAGTAGGTCTCCAATGGTCCTACAATTGCAGACAAAGCACCCAGTAAACAGTGTGTAATTTGAAACCAAGCAGAAGACAATGACAAAAGTTTTGGAGATTACAACCATGGAAGCGTGTATGCATTTGGTTCATTTTATATCTCAAGTGCACTCATAAACACTGTTCAATCTGTGGTTCCAGACATTGAATTTTGTTGGTGCTGTTTGTGCAACTGCTGGTATTCATGGCACTGATCATCTACTTAACATTTAAAAAAAAACAAACTCCCTCACTTCTTTTAGGAAGAGAATAAAGGGAAAATTCTTAACAATTCCATAGAAAGTCAGTCCCAGTGTTAGAGAGAGAGGTTTAACTGTTTCTGCATTTTATTTGTCTCTCCTAGTCTCAGATTATTTACGAGATGTACTGGCCTCTCAGAAAGCTGAGGTACTGCTGCCCTGCTGGATTCTAAATGAGAGGAAGGCAGACGACTGCCACTGAACCACTCAGACTGCGGTACGGGGGGAATAACAAAAGTTCCCACAAGGTTACGGGACTCGAGGAGGTTAAGGCAGGGGGAGTAAGAGATTTGTGCCTAAACTGAGGTTAAGCACATTAGGTCCCTGTGTCTTTTATTGGATCTACACCAGATCGTTAAAAGTCAGATGCGTAAGTGGTGTACAAAATGCACAGGGCTTTTTGATTCCACACTATCCTAAGTTGTAAGTAGAGACACATGAGTAAATGAAAACCAGATTAGCATTCTGGACAACCACAAGACTCGGTTTTACAAAGAGGAAAGGGTGGATTGAAAGCAGCCACTTAATTATCCACAAACCTGGTGAGGCCTCAGTCAGTGCTAGGATTATGGTGCTAGAGGGAGAATTAGCTCCCAGGTTAAAGGGCAACCAAGTAGCTGCCAGACCTCCGCCCCCCAAATAGCAGGGTTTGGTAGGAAAATGGTCAGCTGCTCACCTCTACAAGAATGGGATGAAATGGAGAACATGGTTAAAGACAGACACAAGATTACCTTGCAAGAGTTAAGTCATGGTGATGGTATTCCAAGGCCTTTGCATATTCATGCAGGTAGAAATAGGCATTGCCCAACTGGCTGTAAATAGCACTGAGTGTTTTTAAGTCTTCCGTTCCAACCTGAACAGCTGCTCCGTACCACCCGGACCCGCTGCTTCAAAGAAAAGAAAGATAGCTTGGCAATCTCCTGCTTTACACAGGCGCTCGCCTTCCAAAGCCAGCTCTAGGCAGGAAGCCTCCATCCTGCACAATTTAAGTAAAATGAAAAACAGTCACTCTCAGTGTAGTACTTTGTCCAATAACCCGAGTTCTGAAGAGGTTATTTGACTCAGGGAGTCAGCACCACCGTACGAGCAATGAGCTTGGCGCTCGCATCTTACAGGAACGAATGCTGAAATGGAAATTGCAACTTCAACAGTGATGAGCAAACACAGCATTATAGCAAACAGCCTCTAAGTCTCAGGGAGGAAATCCAAACACTGCTTTGTCCACATACAGCACCTGTAGGATTCAAAAATGCAGAGTTTTCACCATCTAGATAATTTCAGTAAACTGACCTAAAAATCAAGCTAGTCTTGGCAAATACTGATTTTGACAAATGCAAGCACTTCTGGTTTTAGGTTGGTACTACAGTTAGTCACCTGCAAAATGTATTAGAGAAAGAAAAGTAGAATTCAAATATTCATGTGTATCAAAGACCACAACTAGTTCTCCCCAAGTTGTTTCCCACGTAAGTCAGTACTCCTTGGCACTGCACCACTTCCTATCGTGGCACTGCTACAAAAATTGAAAAAATGGATTGAATTAATGACAAAATGCCTGTTAATTCAAGTTACTTCACTGAGATACCACCGCTCCAGAAGCCACTGGAATATTTTTGATTGTTATGAGCAAGTGATTGTGCAACTGTACCGGTACCACATCCTGTAAGAAGATGGTTATGAATGAATTTACAGAACATTACATTTGGAACAACAAACAAAGCAGCTGTTCGAGACGTATTTTTACAGTACTAAGTGTTAATGACTGACTGTATACAAACATTTCCCACTTTCCAGCTCTGAGATAGAAGGGAGGTAGGGGAGAGGAAGACAAGAATGAAAAAGACCTCAGATTCTTGATGGTAAAACAATATGGTTCTCTAGCTTTTTCAAGATATGTGCATTTTAAAAAGCTCACAGAAATCACCATCATTCTACTTTTCAAAGATTTTCAAAAAGAAAACTCAGTGACATCCTGTAAGAGTTTAAAAAGCATGCGTTACTGTTGCCAAAAAGCAGACACCAAACTTGGGAATGTGTATATTGCTTTGATTTTTTCTTCAAGATGGATTACACAGTAAGCACCTCAAACCAGAACCTTTTGTGTAATTAAAGGTATGCTCGTTATCTCATCATTTGATATCTACCTGGTTGTAAGAATAAGCCATTTCAAATTCTATTCCTAAAACTGCTGCCCTTCACATGCACAGATCAACAACAGCAACAGTCAAAGGTTTGCTGTTCCCAAAGTTATTTTAACAGCAACACCAGAAGACAGCTCTTCTGACCAGACATGGTGATGAAGTACTTAACGTACCTCCAATGTTTACATTTCCTAATTTTTCTAAATCTGAAAAAAAAAAATAGGTTATGCAACATTCTACTCAAATCTGAGCAAGAAGGAAATATTTTTGAAAAATCTACTGGCTTTCCAGAGAACCGGAAAAACTTGGATCAGAAGTAAAATAAGCTAACAACACGAAACAGTGCCATACCTGCTGGTCTTCGACATTCCACAACTTAAGCACAACGAGATGACAGACATATTTAACTTTTGCAATTAAAAATACTGTATGCTTGGCAGCTGGTAAAGATGCAGACAGCAAATGATAACTCAGGCACAAAGTTCTTCCCAGGCCCAACTTCTCGGGTTCGATATCCATAACACATGCAGTGTTTTAGGTTTGGAAACTCTTCTCTGAGAAGTTAAAGCAGTCCTATGTGCTAGGACACACAACCTGGTTGCTATTACATGGTGCATGCATTGAATGCAAGAGAGAAAAAGGCAGAAATTACTAAGTACAGTTAAGTACAGGCAGAAATGATTACACCATCAGCAACTGAAGGTTTAAGACTTAAAACACTTCATTGGGTAATCTTAATCCTATCCAAAGAAGTTCTCTCCGGACACCTCATGTTAACTGACATGTCCAATTAAAGTGACGGCTAGGCAATATGGTGCTCCTTAATGCAAAGATTTAGACCATTACACAATCACATTCATTTCTTTAGGTTTTTAGCTTGAATGGCTGAAAACAGCAGAGCTTTCAGCAAAATGTTTATGCAACACAACAACAGTCAAAATGCTACACTGAACACTGGTTTTACAAGTGTTTTTAACAGGATAAATTCAATTCCTGTTTTGATTGGCCACTGTGATGCATCCGCCACCTAATCAACCAAGAAAAGGCACAGCTTAAAAAGGTACAAAGCTAATATCGGAGACGGCTACGCACCAGTAATTTTTCTGATACACTGCATTCAATTAATTTCACATTGTACCAAAAACAGCCAACGCCACGGCAGCATTACCATTTCATCAAGGAACGGGAGACGTAGTCTTTGGACTTTGCAACCGAGGCTTAATCTAACTTATAAAAGGGAAGATGGGGTTTGTTCACACAGAACATCATTAGCTATGAAGCTAAGGCATATACCCAGGCTGATGAAAATCAGCTGGTATTACAGAGTTTTTCAATTCAACCAGAATTACAGGAAGTAAAGGAGAACGGGAATTAGTAATCCGAGTAAAAAGGAAACCAAAATTGAGTACTACTGGGGTGCCACTCTAGAAAGGTTTTGTTAACCAGTAGCTGGAACTTGTACAGCAGATTAAAGCTACAGTTCTATTTGGATCCATTCTTCCTGACCTTCTACACATTCAAAGTCTAAATAATAAAGAGAAAAAAGAAAATAAAGAAATGAACAAAAAAAATGAAATCTTTATTCCCACAGTTGCCTGTACCCCATATTAGTATTTTGTGCACGTAATAGAAGAGCTATAAAACCCTTCAGTTGCTTTAAAATTTTGCGAGGCTTATCCATCAAGTATCAAAACTGGACTCAGCAGGTGTGTTTTGGGCTTTTTTTTTTTTCCCCTCCATTACTTAAAGGACTGTTACAAAAACAAACAGAAATTTTGTTTTAAAGATTTACATAGGTGTTCTCCACCAAAAAGCCATCCCCTCTCGGGAAAGTTCCGAGAGGCTGTTTTAACTGTTACTGCCAACGGTTAAACAGCACATCGGCAGACCAGACAGGCCTAGGTTATCAATGTTTTAGGAAGTCATTAAATAGTTACAAGGAGAGTATGAAATTACTTTCTCTGTTCCCAGGGCTGAATTGAATTACTTGTTCAGCCATTGCTTGTTGAATAAACAAAAGAGACATTGAATCCGCAGAGATGAGAGGAGAAAGGCCCATTCATCTGTGTACTGCCAACGGAATTCTGTTCCTCCTGAACAGGGTGATGTTCTTACAGATATTACTGCGGAAACACTCACAGAGGGCTTCGTTTTGTTATTCAGTTCATAGCTGCCCAGACCTGTTCTCTGAACAGTTGGCATCTCCTGAATAATTTCTCATTTGTAAAACTATCTCATCCTTATCTGTCCCCCCTAAGCTTTTCATCTCGCCTGTCTTTTCTCCGCTCCCTCAACTTCTCTTCCCACCCCCCCAACCTTGGTCTTCTCTGCCCGTATTTGTATTCTCTTTCGAACCTTTACACTTAGAAAAATACAAACGCTATGCACATTCCTCCACCCTAGCCTGCCTGCCTATCCCCCCCTTCTGGAGTCTCCCTTCCCTCAGCTGTTCTCATCTTACAGTAAAGAATAGAAAACCGGAAAGAAATAAGGCAATAGAAGGCGCCAAGAAGATTCATCAATTACTGCAATCTTTAAACACAACTAATTTAGTTTTACTCTGTTCAATTCCCACCAAGAGGGGTTTTTGCCACTGAGGGGGAACGGGGCTGCCATGCAATCTGCCACCAAACACACGGATGCACGTAACATACATAGACACAAACAACAAACACACCCTATCACATCTCTTTAATTCCTAGGCATAAAATTACAAACATATGCATAAAGTGCCACAGCATCCTATAGTGAAGATCACATGCTATTCCTGACTCGTGCCCTTATTCTCGGTTTCTGCACGTAACGCAGAGGCACACCACACTGACCACTCCAAAGGGCGTACCTAGACCTCCACTGCAACACCCTGTTCAGCCACACTGAGTTTGATGGCAAACTTAGAAACAAAATACCATGCACACATACAGAGAGAAACACACACCTGAATTTTGGGTTCTTTCAATCCAGTTATACATTTCTGGAGTATGAATTTAGCAGGCCAAGGCAAGCGAGTTCTACAAATGTTAGGTATCACTTACTAGTCCCATTTATTAACTTCAGCATTTTATTTCCAGTCACTAAGCAACATAAGAGTGGAAAATAGTTTTCTGCCACCAGCGTAAGCTTTTTTATAGTTGCTAAAATGATACTGGTCAGCTACAGTGCGGAGAAAGAAACAGCTTGCACAGTAAGAACCAGACCCATAGTAAATAAAGCCTTTCCTTAGGAGTGGGACATCAGCTTCTTGTTTAAGGCAGCTCTATTGGAATACCACTGGGTACAAAAAAAAAAGGAGCCAAAGGGGCCTGGGAAAATACTGTAGGCAAAAGAAAATTTCAAACTGATAAATAAAACGACCACCCCCAGTAATTTATGACTTTTTTCTTGCATTAAGTTTTAAACAACAACCAAGTAAAATCTTTCCAAATCATAGCTATTAAATGGTATCATCATAAAATTCCATTCAATATACTGCATTAATTTGCAATTTCTCTAAGTTTTAAAGAAGTTTAGTTATTAAAAAAAAGTATTATGACCTGATGTTTTTTAAATGTTCGTCAGATTACAGTTCTTACTGAAAGATTTAATAAGTCCATTAATATTTTTATTTTTAATCAGTATCATTCACACCTGCACTGAAATACAGCAAAAAGTAGTAAGAGTTTTGCCTAGACTGTGCTTGCCAATTTTTTTTTAACTTATTTTTGGCTTGTCGGTATAAACCAGCCACTTTTTTCATCCGTTTACTTCTCTAATAGCACCCTGAACAGCTCCTGCTTCTATTAAAGAGCGAGCAAGGATCTTCTACAGTCGTCTGGGAAGGCCCAAGAGCATCAGCAACAGCACGGGGAAACATGTTACAGGAATGCTGGGAGTTGGATTCAAGAAGCACTTAGCACAGAAGAAATACCATGGTCACACACTTAGACATCCCTGCTGCCATTCAAAGCCACCAGATAAGTATTACACCAAAATAAAGAGAGCAGAGAGTATATTACAGTTTATTTGCCAATTTTCTCCTTGCTGACCATGGAAAAGCTCCTCACGCTGACTGCACTGCCAACCACAACTAACTGTGTACTTCTGTGAAACGGAAGAGAAGACCAACCTAACACTGTCAGAACATCCTCAAAATTCATTTCAAGCTGCAGCATGTGCTGTCATACAACTGAGGGTACGGCTTTGCTCCTGTTAGCCTGCCAGGAAAAGGCCTCCAGAGCAAAGATGCTGGGGACAGAGTGTGGGGGGAGCACTGAACAAGAATCACGCTTTTTATTTGGTTTTAAAACAGTTGTTCCAGTGTTCCTTCCTCATGAATGAGCTGCAAGATTTACCCTTCCAAACACCAGCCATCCAAATGCACCACACACAGAGCTTCTGTTTCGGGTTCATTAGGGGGAGTCTGCAATGCTAACACGCTGTCCCATCTCTGTAAAGGGCATTCCAGAAGAAAAGTGATAAAAGCTCTCAGAAGGGAAATCAAACATCGTCTTGACTTGCAGTAACAGTACTTTTTTAGTCCAAGGTATCAAAGCAGTTTCTATCTATCAGTCAAATCTCTATTTTAAGCAAGAAAAACACTGCTCTAGGTGACAGTGCACCTAAAAATTCATCATTCACAGACGCAATAAAGGAACAAGTACAGAGAACTTCAGCAGACAGAACTCAACAATTTGCATATGCAGCCCAAAAGCTAAAAGAAGAGAGAGCAGGTATTACCATGCAGGAATCATGCTACCTATATTCTATCAGAAATAGAGTCATGTATTTTTCTGCAACCGCATACAGTTCCATTACTATACAATCACATAATTATGCTCATATAATCTACTATATAACAAAAGGGAATTTTCATAGTTCAAAAATCAAGAAAAGAAAAAAGTTATTTTAGCTTTCACTGTCAATAACACTTCTAACAGAGACACTATTTGTTGCAGCTTGTTTAGTTCTCTATTATTAACAGCACTTATTCATCAGTACTAAAATGAACACATCCTTACCTGTATCGCACGTGAAAGGAACGATCTTCACGCATGCTTATCAAAACATTCCTTTCCTCCATTGAGTCACATTACCAGTAGAGAAAATGATACTGTTCTGTAGTAGGGTAAGTACTTTACTACGGAGAATTGTCAGCACACCATTCCAGTTAGTATATTAATAAGTTAGAGTAAAGATATCCTGAGCTCCTGCTAGGTAAGGAGGTCACTGTCAGACAAATCTTGAACCTTCAGAAACGTGTCCAAGTTCCTTCATCTGTGGCCCTTTAAGCTCCACTCAGCTGCGTTTCTGCAAAGGGAACACAAGATGCTCGGCTTGAAGTGTCAGGTCAGTTAATAACTCATAACTATTTACAGCTGATGTAAAAGCGTAACACTACTCCTGCCAAGCAGGAAGCGTCGAGCAAGAACTTACAGCCAGAGCAAGTTACTACATACATACGGCAATTCCTGTAGGCAAGCAAGAAAGACAAGGAGGTTGAACAAAAAGCAATGCTCTCTTTTCTGTTGGAAACTTTGAGTAATTTACCTTTGTTAGTATTCTTTGGCCTCATAAAGTTCCAAGCAAAAAGCTTTAAGGATGAAAGCTACAGAGTGAGAAGCGTAACATAAAGCAGATCACCAACTGCTTTACACGTAAACGGTGCTGCTGAAAAAGCCCGGAGAGTTAGCCAAGTCCCACGGTAGTCAGGACTGGCTGGCACAATCCCATCTGGAGATCATCCCTCCCGGAACATTATGAGCACAGAAGCCAGCAGACATTTAAGATCTATTCTCTTTTCCCTTCCCCTCTCCCAAAAGAAAAGGGGGGAGGTATGGGGGCTTGATTTGAGGGGAGGGGGGAGGTGTTTGTTGGTTTGGTTGGTTGGGTTTTTTGTTGTTGTTGGGTTTTTTTTTGTTTTGGTTTGTTTGGGTTTTTTTTACACTGGCTTCACATTCCGAAATGCTGCAGCATTGTCATCTGAGCTCCAAACTCTGCTTCAAAGGGATTGCAGCAGCCAGCACTTAGATGTTAGACATGTTTAGGCTGGCAGGGAAAAGATTAGCAGAAAAGAAACTCCATATCCAAAAGTTTACTAAAAATATACTCTGAAGTGGGTAGAGGCGTTGACATATTTTTCGCTCAGTACTAATATTACCTTCCTTCGCCAGTAAACACCCTGTGGTGTAATTCACAAACACCTATTTCATCAAGAGACTGCAGAGATGTCAAAAGACAAGAACACAGCCCAGATTTAAAGCTGTCACCAGAAGACAATGCAGCCCTCTATTTTTCACAGTCAGTGCAGGCCATGACTTCTATCCTCTCGTTAGTTTTAGCAAGTACCAGCTGTGAAGATTCACGCTTTCCATTATACCCTACCTTGACAGCGCCTCTCAAACAGACCATCCACATTCTTCCAGTTAAACAACTATTTTACCCTTCCATCCTCACCATCAGAATTATTTGGCATCAACAAGTGCACGTGAGTACATTTTTGCAATTAAAGCGTGACGCATACAGTTTACAATAGCACTGCCGCCCACATAGCAGGGAGACTGTGTTGACAGGTATTTACTCTCCGGAAGTTGGTCCGAACCCCAGATCGGACAAGCAGACAGCTGTACGCCACCCAGCCTCCAGCAATCACCCAGGAGCGTTCCTCAGCAAATGCAAGGAACGGAGAGTTCTCCTCCGCAGACAAGACACACTCGTGTGAGTTACTACGTGCCACAAACTAAAAAGTGCGTGTTTTGCAACTGCCACCATACATGAAATAATGACCACGGGCTTTTCTTCAGTATATTTATACTGTAACTGTAAATAGCTGGAAAATTTAAGAAGCTTTTTAAAAAATAAAATGCCAAATTTAAGAAAAAAAGTCATATTTAAATGTACATCAGAATGACTGCATTTATCGGAACATTTCACATCAGCTGTTTTTAACCTGAACTATGCTTCTGTCCTCATACTTAACCTCATCCTCTGACAAAGGCCACCATCTCCCAGCAGCTGGAACATCAATACTTCACTTTCTTTGCTTCTTACTGGCCATATGGCACATTCCTGGCCTTGGGAGGGTGATACAGACACACCCGAGTTGGCCAACACATCATGATCACAGATCCAACAAAAATTACTGGGTCTGGTCTTCATACCACGCCTCCATCACCCTTAACTCATCAGGATGTTGTCAGACCTTCAGCCATGCCAACGTGCAGTCAGTAAGCAAACTTAAAGCACATTAATTAGAGTGGTGAATTCAAAATTCAGGAGGTGGAAATCGATGAACCCTTCCACATATAGTATCTCAGGTGTAAGCTGGCCCGGGGAGGATTACGTGATAGCAAACCAAGCCCTGCTCTTCCAGCTGATGCACCTTAACCATTCAGAGTATCTCTGTAACCGAGCCTTTCCTGAGCAGGTGATCAGCATGAAACTGCTCCGAGGACACAGTACTTCAGCTGAAAAACCTAGTGAATTAACAGAGATCAGAAGTTCTGCTCTGTCGGCATATTTAACAGTGAAATGAGCTTTCTCCTAAACTTGCATTTTTAATTAAAACTTCATGCAGGATGAAAAAAGCAGTGGGGCTTACTGGAAAGAAGAAAAAACCCAACACTGTATTAATGCAAAGCAGCTGCTTTTAATTTATTCTCTCCACCCCTTTAAGCAATGCAAAAAAAACATACTCATGTTAAAGAGCTGCCTTTCAGGAAAGCCTGAATACAAAATAGAAGCTGTATACACAACTTCAAAATGCAGAGTTTTACTATTCCAGCTACTAAATGCAGGAAGTCCTAGCTTTTTTGTAATTTCAAAGTAGCAGAAAAAAGCACACACCAAAACTGACTGGGCTTCCTTCAGAGGTGGAACATTACGCAGTGGTGTGATACCAAACCCAACACCACCCTCCAGATCAAATAAAGGAAGGCAGAGGTTAGGCAATCAAATGTCGCAGCCGGTTTATACCCCACCACAGAGAAAACACATGCTCTATCAACACTTTACTAGGAGAAAATGGTGAGCCATGGTTAAGGCTTACCCATCCCGTCTATAAACAGCTAAAGGACCTTCAATTAAAGCAGTAAAAGGCTAACTTTGGCTCAGTTCAATGCTTTATCTGGGGGGAAAAAAACCCCAACTACTTATCGCTGTCAAAAAGTCACTTTTCATTCTTTTCTATTAAATCCCAGTTATATGCTGAAGCTATATAGATACAGAAGCTTGTGTTTTGCATGGCATGAGGTTTTAAGGCTGAATTCCTGAATAAATTCTAAGAAACTTTTAACTTGAATCTCCAAAATTGCATAAAATCCATTAATTTCCACAATTTTTACAATGGAATAAATATTTTAAAAAATCAGGGTAAAATACTGATGTTACATATTGAAAGGAATCCCGTACAACAATGCTTTAAAAGTGAAACCCCATCACGCTCACATGTAGTATTTTTCATAAAGTTATTAGCAGTGTCCTCAGAGAGAGAACCAAGGCCCAATGGCTGAGATTCAAAGAATGTACCTTCCATTAACAGCACGGAACTGAAGCAGTGATATATATGCCAAGACTCAAACGAAGCTCACTTGCAAGAAAAATTACGGAAGAAACCAAGACTCCCTGATCTCCAGTTCCTATCAGCGTATTTCAAGTCCCTGAGAGCAATGAAACATCAGCTGCGGTTTCCTTCTCAAAAGCCTGTTATGCGAGTTAACTGTCCTAGGTATTACGACTTCCAGACAAGCCTTTCGTGTTTTAAGACATCTTCCATTTCAGAAAGGATTTGATTACAGGCTGTGAATTTCATCGCAATGGTAGACGATGATTTTAATCAATTTGCAGCTCTTAGCGACACCAAATCTCTAAGACAGATTTTATTAATTTTAACTTTTGATAGAATACCTTATTTCCAAACAAGTGAAAGATGAAAGGGCAAGCAAGAGAAAGCTGATACTGATATTTATTAGCAGTATATAGAACCAATAATCACAATATAGTTGGAGAAGGAGATGGATATTTTTCCCTGCATCTGCTTAAAATTGTACATTTCCGCAGCTTCACTGGCTCCTTCCCTGAACATATACCTTCCTTTTTGGAGTTTGTCAGATGACCAAAAGCATAGCTTTCCTTACTTACATGGCTGACACAGGCTGACTGGTCACTTAGGGGCTGACAACCAGAATATCTACCAATTCAATTCTTTCTGCCTTTCCCTGAAGGACACGATCAAGTAATGCCTTCCCTACCCACCTGCTATTTTTCACAGAGCTATAGGAAAGAAGCATCTGCCAAATGAAGTCATCACTAAGATTCAAAAGCTACTTGAGGAAACTACAGAATGAGGCACAAATTATATCTCCTTAGAAAAATAAGCTACAGAGATCCGTTGTTTCAACATAAAGGCAAATTTCCCAACGGTGAACTAAGTTTGAATTGCCTTTCAGGAAGTAGCTGTAGCATGGCTGAATAAAAGATAAGGAACCTTCAACTGGATTCTCTAAAACCAAAACAGACTGTTGCACGGGCTATGAAAAAGAGACAGACTAAAAAGCAACAAAAATATCCTGACAATTCTATTACTGAAATATAGAAACTAGCTTGGCTCCAGACCTTTAAAAGACAAAACAGCATATAAGCACAAATAGTAGGAGGAACATTCAGAACCAGATAAACCATAATTTTAGTCCTCAATGCTGTCCAGAAATATTTTTATAATTCACCTGAATTAACAAATAAGCCTAAAATAAGCCCAAAACCCTCTTAAAATTCGTTCTCTAGTTGAATATTGCATTAACACAGTAAACAGCATCATCAGCATTTCTGTAGCAATAACTATTCCCTTGTGAACACCTAATTGTGTGCATGCTGGGAAAAAGCTGTTGTTCCCGAACGCGGAGCACGGCACAATACGGGTGACCAGTCACCCGAGCGGGTGGTGCGGATACAGGAACACGGTACCGAGCCCAGCGTGGTTCCTCTGGGAAGCTTCACTTCAAACTGCGCTCTGCCCCACCTTGACAGAAGTTCAACAGCCCATCAGCTGGAGGAACCACCTTCGCTGACAAAGTGACTTTGAGGTTT